AGCATCATCCTTCAGTTGAGCCTTGACCTTGATAAGCAATACAGATCAGGGACCCCTGAGACCATTTTAAATTGGTCGTAGGGCTAAAAAATCTGTCCAAGACAAGCAAGAACATTAAGGGGCACTGTTCGCAATTATCATGTATTTGCGTGCCATTTGGAGCCCTAAAAAATCAGCCCAAGCAAAGAAGTGGTAGGGTTTAGCCACACCAGCCCCTCGTCCTATGCAGTCCCTGCAAGTGATAGGAAAATGTCAATAAGAACATCCATGGAATATGTGCCGCGCCTAGGACAGCAACATTGTGCTTACATATTCAAAACGCCATGATTTAAAGTGGTGTTTATTTGAAGAGGTCCATCTGCATCTCCTTGACTCTGATATGGTAAAAAAAGGTGATACTGACACTCTAAACGGAGTTTTGGTTGTGTTTGCTGCCGTTTTTGGATGAAATAATAGTTGATGTCTTGCTTAAAATAGCTTGTAATGACTTTTGAATAGGCACCGCCTTGCATGAAACAAGTAGAGCCTTCAAACAACTGACTTATCAAACTGTCTTAAGAATTAGTGCATACTCCTTGATACACCGTTGTCCTTTTAATTCTAACTATCTTATATTCTCTTAAAACCGCAGGTGGGAATTGCAACACTGCTATGATTGCAGCTTTGTCTGCTGAGGAGAAGAATGTGTCTGAAACCATTTCGACCTGCAGATTTGCTCAAAGAGTAGCGCGAATCCTGAACAAACCCATGTAAGTCAGAATTCAAGGAACAATTTGAAATTTATGTATTACATAATCTGACCTTAATCTCGGATGAAGGTTTCGAGTTATTTTCCAGTTTAACGAAACACTTCTGTCAGGTTTCCTCAGGTTTTTAATTGAATCTAAAGCCTGAGGTTAATGGATAGAAAAAAATTGCACTTGTCATGTTTGCTAACGGATTGTATACTCTTCCAAGCATGCATGTGTGGTGTTAAGCAAGAATGTTATCTAGTTATCTATGGTTTTACATTAGTCCAATGCCGTGTGTGATTTTTCTAATGCTTCAAATGGTAGTGGTGAAAGTCCTAACAAGCATATGGCTTTTAAGATGCGCCTAGGGATACAAAGCTGTGTCTTTACAGCATTCATCGTTTATGTACCTGTAGCACCCAAATACGACTGATAACTAAAACTAAATGTTGCAGTCCTTTTAATTTCAGACGGAATGAAGAGGTTGACAAGAACATTGTTATAAGACGTCTTCAGAGAAGGTTGGCAAAGCTCCACCTGGAGCTAGCCAATTACAAGGTACATTTCATAGCACTCAAGTTAGATGCGACATAGTTGGTAATGTGCAGCCTTGTCTGTGCTGAGTTTACTAGATGTTCTGTCGACCTTTTTCTGATCCCTATTATTGCTCTATACAAAAAGTAGCTTTGATGTACAAAAGCACTGCAAAATATCGAGGCCAAAGAACTAAGTTATGAGGGTCTCCCAGGGGTTCTGGGGGCCTCCCAGGGATTTTGGGGAACAAAGGAACGTGATCATTTATTTTAAGGGAACAAGGGATATTTTTGGATTAAAGTGAAATTTTCAAGGAATCATCATCAAGGGAACATGCTACAACCCTCTCCACTGGAAGACTCATTAACGTGGAACGCGTTTGAGAGGTAGCCGCGAGGTGGAGCGCGTATTTTAGAGGTAGCCGTTTAAAAGGGCTTCTTAAAATAGGAAAATAACTGACTAAGCGTTTTTTCAAGGCCAAAAAAGTGGCAGTAATATTGAGATGGTCGTATTATTGCAAGGCGGAGTTCCACTGTACCCTCACTGTACCCTCAATGGGCCATTGCCATTAAATACTGACATTCAAGCTAGTGCCACTATTCAAGCGGAAAGGATGAGCAATTAAAGGTAGCCTCGCAGCGGCTAAAGCTGTACTAACAGTTTTTGTTGTGTTGGGCTACTTGTCAGCACGATTCAGTCACATTGCGGTCGGATGACGAGAGCAGTCTCGAGAACGAACATGAATGTGTCGATGTGATGCGTTCTTTTCTTGCTGGAAGAATAAATGATCCAGTGGCACATGGTGAGATCTTCTGATAACAAATGTAACTTCTTTCGTTTGAAAACGCGTACTTTTTTATGCGTTTTTGCCTGTCCTCCAGACTAAAATGCCCGAAAACGCTGATGAAAATAGGGACTTTCCAAAACGGTTTAAAAGTGGAGTCTTGCAAATGCATCGTTTTGAAAACGCTCCGTTTCAAGTCTGGATAGGTGAAAACGGAGGCATTGGAAAACGGTGACGAAAAAAACGTCATATTCTGTCGCTTCATCAGCGTTTTCGGCGGTTTTTTAGTGTGGACGATAGGCGAAAGCGTATCAAAAAGTATGCGTTTTCGATTGAAAACTTATGAATGTGGACAGGTGAAAACAAAACGAAACGCTAGTGTGGGCGAAAATGTTTTGCTTCGTTTTGGTTGAGACGAAAACGGATACTAAAGTGCGGTCGGGGCCTTAGTCATCAATGCTTGGCTTGGACTTGAAGTGATTTACACACATACGCATTAATTGGCGATGTTTTGGACACGAAAAAGTAAAATTCATATCTTCGAACCACCCTTTAATTTTCCTTTTTATTATTTAGACGCGACCCTTTCGGTCGGCATTTTCACCATTTCGGTTTTGTTTCTTGAATTTCATCCCGGTCGACCGGGCTGAAATTTACGATAGGAACTGGTTACCGGGCTCATATGAAGAGGCGCTTTCTGTTTGCGCATTACGTGTTTGTTGGAACACGAATCGTTAGGAGCCCATGGGTCATGGGCTCCTGGAATCGTTAATTTCTGGTGCGGCATCGAAATCACTTGCATGGCTAGCCGAGCTTAGCTACTCATACAAAGAAAGTCATGAAAGTTCAGAGAGTTATGGCCGACATCTGCATGCAGAAAGAAAGCAGCTAAAAATATCAGCAGCAAATATTGAAAGCTCAAAAGCTTGCCAAGTTGTCTCAAGTACTTTTCTTCGACCGTCACTGACAGGTATCAACACACCACGAAAGTTCCGCACCTCTCTACGTTACCTGAGACAGATGGTTGTCAGGTCCAGCCCCCAGGTTATGAGTGATGGAGACCAGGGACTGCAGTCCAGTGATGACAGGGACAGCGGCGTGCGCACAAGCAGTGAACCCACGTCACCGCTGACCAGTGAAGTAGAGAGTGATGTGCATTTGGTTTCTAATTTCATAGCCCAGCTGCCATCTCCAGCACCCGACATGGCTAATTCATCGCAACACAGGCATGTGACCATAATCGTCTGGCTTGTATTCTGCACACAATACGTGCCTGTTTTTCTGGATTGCTATTCGTTGCCTGATTGCAAATCCAAAACTACTTATTTTCCCATATTTGTTACAACTGTTGTGTGGAAGGCGCGGTGGCCTCAGCTCGTCTCCGGATCGAGCGGTCCGGGTTCGAGCCCTGGCCGGGGACATTGTGTTGTGTTCTTGGGCAAGACACTTTACTCTCACAGTGCCTCT